CCTAGGTGAGTCTAGTGGGTTAGGTGCGGTGCACACTTATCAAATCTAGCACTAGATAGCTCCTAAGTAGCCCTAAGATCAATTGGAGCGAACTTTATTCACATATGATTTTGAGTTGGAAGTGAATGTAGGGTCAAATGTTGACCGGACGCTGGTTCCGGTGTGACTGGATGCTAGCGTAGAGTCCAGTCAGTTCATTTGATTAAGGTGAAGTCGTCTGGTTGCGACCGGATGTTGAGTGAAGAGTGACCAGACGCTGGGTGCTAGAGTCCAGTCAACTCCAGTAAGGTTCCAGAGAGGAAGAATCCTGATCGGATGCGCCCGGTCAGTGCTGACCGGATGCTGGTTAGGTTCCGGCTACTGACTGGACGCTGAGCAGCAAAGTGACCGGATGCTGGGTGCCAGAGTTTGGTCAACATCAGTAAGGTTCTAGAGAGAAGTTTTTATGACCGGACGCATCCGGTCAGTGCTGACCGGACGCAGGTCAGAGTCCAGTCACAACTTAACGGCTCAGTGGTGGTGAGAACTGACCGGAGCGTCCGGTCAACTTGACCGGAGCATTCGGTCACCCCGCAGAGGCACATAACGGTTCGTTTTGAATGAGGGTTTATAAATACTTCCTCTATTCACTCAAGGGAGTACTCTTGCCCATTTCAACAGCTGAGAAACACCCTTGAGAGTGGTAAGGAAAGCAAGAGCCTAGTGAGGTGATTGAGATTTGGGAATCCAAGATTAAGACCTCATTAGTGAAAAGAGAGTAGCAAGTGTGCATCCATCCTTCTCATTAGGCTTGTTGTGGTCAAGTGAGAGTTCTTGCTTGTTACTCTTGGTGATTGCCATCACCTAGACGGCTTGGTGATGATTGGGAGTTTGGTGATCATCCGGCGGAGCTTGTGGATGACCCAACTCAAGTTGTGAGCGGTTGTGGGTGATTCACCGCGATGGAGTGTCGAAGAATCAACCCGTAGAGAGCATTTGATCCTTGCGCGAATCAAGGGGGAGCTACACCCTTGCGCGGGTGCTCCAACGATGACTAGTGGGGAGTGGCGACTCTCCGATACCTCGGCAAAATATCGCCGCGTTCCTCCTTCTCTCTTTACTTTAAGCATTTACTTTGAGCAATTCAATTCTTGTCTTTATATTCATAGAATTGTCATGCTAGAGTATGATTGAAACTTAGGTTGTAAAACTTTTGTGCGGTAGAACATTAGAAATACTTTCTAGGCACAAGGGGTGAAGTGGGCTAAGTATAGGGTTTAATTATTGCAAAGAATTTTAGAATTAACCCAATTCACCCCCCTCTTGGGCATCTTGATCCTTTCAAATACAATCATCCCTAGCAGAGGAAGAATACTAACAATCACGAGAGGAAATAGCATGGCCCATGAAAATAACAGTCAAAGAAGAAATTACTTCCGAAGAGTAAATTTAATTTCAATAGAAGACCCATACATGAAAACAAGATGGTCCCATCTGCCAATCACATTTTCAGAAGAAGACCTTCAGTTGAAAGATTACCCACATATGGAAGATATGGTAATCGAAGCAAACATTGATGGTTGGGCAGTCTCAAAAATATTGGTTGATGGAGGCAGCTCCATTGACATTATATTCACATCAACAATTGACGCCATGAAAATTGATCACAAAATGTTAGGAAGAGCTGAGCACCCACTTTATGGTTCGGCGGGAAAAAGATCCACTCAATTGGAAGAATAATTTTGCCAATAGATGGCGCTTCACAATCTTCCTTGACTCATCCTTTTATTCGACCATTGGAACCGTATGATAAAACCAATACCGATACCAATTTTCAACCCATTTATTCTTGGAAGCTGAAGAAATTTGCTTAGCACCTCGAGCAGGTTTAAAACTGCAGCAACCAAAGTACTTAATAATAGTTTTCCCATCCACATTCTTACTCTAAACTGAGTATGCATCTCATGAAGAACACAAAAAGCCCTGATATCCAAGTTTATATCTTGAGACTTTATTACCCACATAAAAAGAGCAATCGGCGCAATTCCATTAGAAGTTAGATGATGCATTTCTATATTATATGCCTTCAGAAGTTCTTCAAGAAAGTCTTGACACGACATACGAAGTCCAGCTGCAAATTGATCTCAAAAAACCACACATTCATGAGGCTTCGGATCAGGAACTACTTCATTCATAGGCAAACAAACAGATGCCCTCTCCACCATCCGATTAGTCACCATCCAATCCAACTCTTTATCATCCATCAAAATTTAGCCAAACTTCAAAGACATCGTGTCATCACCAACTAACTCGAACTCAGACGCAGAAATATCCAATAAATCTTCACCCAAGTCAAATTGATTAGATCCAACTGGAGAGTTTGCAGAAGCATTCTTCTCTTGACCAGACATCTAGAAAATAAGAAATTTCTCATTAAAAGAAATATTAAAAACAATAACAATAGAAGAAAGAAAGAAAATAAAACAAACAAATTTAAAACTAATCTTTAGTCAACAAAAACTTTCACCTTTGAAAAAAAATAGTCTTTGGAAAAGAGTTTGGCTCCGCTAAATTTTTTGACTTCGCTTCAAAAAAATTTCAGCAGCACCTCCCGTCTTCGACAAAGCAGCAAAAACAGGGGGAGGGAGCGAAGTATATATAGGCGGCTTCGGGTCAAACCTGACGGTTCAGCTTCCGCCGGTCAAATATGAACGTTGTAATTCAAAAAAAAGAACTGTTCACAGTCTAACGGCTATAAATGGCCAACTCCAAAGTTCAGGACGGCGTTTTTTGTCTTCGTTTTAAATCCAAACTTCGTGGGATTCAAACCTTTGGAGTAGGCCTTCGCCCGCGAGGGGCTGCTGATGGGGATTTAACTTCGCGAGAAAAACTCAGTCCCTGAAACATTGAAGTTGAAATTATAATTTTCATAACAAAGTCTGCTTGCAGGAAAAGAAGCCTAGCGAAGATGAAAGTTTAAACTTCGGGAAAGGGAATTTGACTTCGCTAGAGAGCTTGTCTTCGCTGAAACGAAGAAGGAAACAAAGCCAAGCGAAGACAAATATTTGACTTCGCTTAACATTTCGAAGATAGAAAAGAAGCAGGGCGAGAACTGACTAAGTCCCAAGATACGAAGACAAAAGAAGATCGAAGGCGACAAGTTGGAGAATGAAGACTCATAGAGAAAAAAAGATCACTTCGCACTCGTAGTTGAAAAGGGTTGTAAATATTTGAGTTAGGGGTAAAATAGTCATTTTATGTAAAATACAAAGACTAGGTCCTCTATAAATACCCCTCTGATATGTCCAGGACGAGAATGAAAATAAATATAACTTTATCTTGTGTTTAAACTTTGATGCTTAAGTAATTTTTTACTCCCGTAAAGTGCTTGGAGAGGAGCATATGCACAAGAGTATTGAACTTCAATGTGTGGAATATGAAGGTACATGGACCAGAAGGTCCGATGCTTGCATTATTTTATTACTTGGACCACCAAAGTATTGCACAGTGATTTGCTATAGCAGCCGGGGAAAAACGCACGAGCAAAAGATGGTCCCCTGATCTCAGGAGTGGGCACTGGAGTATCAGCTAAGGAGGCAACACAAAACCGCTCGCCTCTAGAAACTATTGATTGCTAGAAGTCTTTATAATAAGATTTTATCATCGCTAAAAAATCTTCTCTATAGTATTGTACGTACACATATGTTTTTTATATTTCCAAACTAAACATTTGGATCGGTGGTAAAAGTTTTGAAGTCTTGATTGAATTTTAGTTGAAGGGTTAAGTAAAGTACGAGGGAAACGAACAAAAGACCTTTGTAAAAAGAAGAAAATAAAAACAAGATGGACCTGGCAAGTACGTTTAGTGGGCTCAGCCCAACGGGGATCCTGAAAAGGCGAAAAAGCGCAAACTCATGAACCAGCCCATTAAAATTGCAGCGAATTCCTTGTTTGCTCCAATGGCGACACGGTGGTGGTGACCCTCACGCACGGGCTCGGCGTCAAACGGCTTCATGTGGATGTAGAGCTGACAGACGGAACAAAAAATCGTCGATCCTTCTCTCCTCAGTCGCTGCCGGTGCAATGGAAGTGGATACAGTAGCATCTAGATTCTATTCCGTTATCATGATAGTGCAAAACGATGCTCGTGTACAGAGTCCCAATCCATCCGATTGCTCAGTGAGTGAAGCCTATCCCACCACGACCACCGAGCATAGCACGACAGCAACATTCACTACTGACGGGAAGCTCGATGCCAGCTACACTGAAACATGAAATGCACTCTCAGTCGACAGATGTCCGTGCCCTCTTGTTTCAGTTAAGCAGTGAAGACTGTGAGAGGCAAGCTCGGGGACGTCTGTTCCGAGAACAGAAGTAACGACAGAGACGAGTCACGCCGGCCACCCTTTTGAAAGCTTACGGCATGCATTCTTCAGCAAAGCATCGATTCAATTGTCAGCGAGTTCTTTGGCCCGTTTGGAACCTCGAGGTAGTGGCGGAGAGTGAGGCACCAAACGGAAGAAAGAAAGGCGGGAGGTGCCGCACCCCACAACCACAGCCTGTGGTGCCAACTGAGGAACCGTTGGGCAAGTTGAGCGAACCGTGGCGGTGGAAGGGAGCATCGTTGATGCCGACGGGTTAGGCGGCCGCGTACTGGCTCTGGCATGCACGGCGCACGGAAATGCCGTGCCCAATTCTCTCTTCCAAGTTCCAGAGGATAGCAAACGGTGCCGCTGAGTGAAGCTGCTCCACTGAAGCGGAAGAGTTGGGGAATTGTGGCACTCGGTCGCGTCAAGAAACACACAGCTAGTTGCAGTAACAGTATGTGTAAGAGTTTTATTAATGCTCTACTATATGCTAGGAGCACTAGACAACAAGCAATTCATCTTGTCATCCTTCACATTTCCATTTCACACACACACACACACACACACACACACCGTACATGATCCACCAGCTCATATGGACATTAGAATAGGCCTGATTTGTAATTCTACTACACGGATTCCCCTATATGCTCTCTAGCTTCCTGGCGTGAACTTCATGCAGATGGGCGGCTTGACCTTAGCCAGCGCGAGCAGCGACGACGGGAACGTCCAGATCCCGTCGCCGCAGATCAGCCCCGAGGCGACGGCGGGCACCAGCAGCGCGGCCTTCTTACTGTCGAGCTTGTGCCACGCGAACACCACGAGGCTCCCCACGCACATGTCGATGGCGAAGCTGGCGCCCACGAGGAACGGCACCGCCATGGCCATCGGCAGCGGCACGCAGCGCGCGAGCCGGCGCGGCAGGAGGTCCCGCGCCAGGTTCGCCAGCACCGCGAACGCGAAGAACCCCGCGCACAGCACTAGGCAGTGTGTGGGCAGCGCCGAGAAGCCCTCCACGCCGAGAATGGCCATGTTGCGGTAGATGAGCGCGTAGGGGGCCTTCCAGTACCCGTCCGGGTCGCCCACGTCGAACGCCCTGTAGAAGAGCATGAAGGTGAGCGGCGCCAGGACGCAGCCCATCAGCGTGCCGACGGCCTGGCCGATCAGCATCGACCGCGGCGACGTCAGCGTCAGGTGGCCCGTCTTGAAGTCGTGCATCAGGTCGGCGGAGACGAGCACCAGCTGCTTCACCAGCCCGCAACCCACCAGCCCCGCGACCACGCCGTTGTCTTTCCCCGCCCACGCCGCCAGCACGAACAGCGCGATCTTGCCGTAGTTGTACCCCATGTTCATGTCCGTCAGCCCCGTGCCGTACGCGTTGCAGAACCCCAGCGCCGGCGCCAGCACGTACGCCAAGATCACGTAGTACCACTTCACCTCCCGGAACATGATCGGGATCACGATCACCGCGATGAGGCTGAGCGCGGCGTACCCCGTGTAGGACAGCCAGGTCGGGATGTTGTCCCTGCTGAACACCTCGTCGCGCTGCATGTCGTCAAGCGCCATGGTGTCCGCGTCCGCCACTACATAGTACAAATTCCAGCTAATGGTACGTAAGGATATTTCTGTGAGGTAATCGGATCTTTTTTTTCCGCTTTATTTACTTACCTTTGTTCTGGTTCTTGCGACGTGATCTCTCGCGTATGTTCTTGACAGTGATAGCTATGACTTTGACAAAGTTGTAGAGGCCGTCTCCCACGAGAAGAGCAATGCAGAGGAAGGCCTGATCGGGGAACCAATCGGGAATGGGGTTAAGAACTGAAGCTAGTTTTAGTATGTAAGAACTGTTAAACCAATTAGTATACCTTGTACCCGTAGATGCCTGACATGCTACTTTGAGACGCATTTGCAGAATACCAGTTGCCCTTCTGCTTGCTGATGAGTGGCCACATTACGCCCCAGGAAAGGATGGCGCCGAAGAGCAACGAGAGGTTGACAAGGTGCGAACAGATCATCCCGGCGCCAACATACGTCAGGCTGAAGTCGAAGAAAAACCTGACGGTTCAAAGGGCTCAGAAAGGTGAACCTTTTGGTGCCTTTGTGACTGAAACATATAAAATTTAACAACGAAAAAGACCAATGATTACGTCTGTTTAAAAGCTTGGAGCCCGAAAGTAGGGAACTGAGCGAATCCGCAGTTGTCGCCGGCAGTGTAGAACCACTGGAAGAAGCTCCAGAGGAAGCTGATCCCGAAGTACTTGAGGAATCCACGGACCTGGTTTCTGGCATGACGGTGAAAGTGGTAAATAGTTCAGGTTTTCAGTTTTATCGTGTTGGCAAGTTGGGGGAAGTCGGGAAGCTTTCGCCAGCATGACTGAAAGTCTGAAATGAAATAAAATAGCGTACTTTGCATTTTTATCTCCTTGTGGTGTGTGGAACCCGTTTATGAGAACCGCAGTGGCAGTCCCACTTGGATAAGTGAGTTTGTAGTCAATGACGAGCACCTGAAAAGTATTTAGTTTGGAGCTCGATCTCAGAAAGGTGAAAACAAGAGAAAATACCCGGGTTCCCTAAAACGGAGCATTTTACACTATACTTTATTATATTGAGAAAAAATTGGTGCTGAAAGATTGAACTAAAAATCTTCGAAACGAAAAATTGAGAAGTTCTGAGAGCAACAGCAACCATAGAAATTTCAGAAAGCGCGGATCAAATAGTAAACGCAAAGGTGACATGGAAAGATCAGAGAAAGAGAGGAGCACAGGAGTTTGGTACCTTTCTGAGTGGAAGCAAGGTGAGGAGCCCCACGAAGCTGACGGCGAGGAGGAATCCCGTCATCCAGCCGATGGCAGGCTCCTTGTAGCTCCCCGGCACGTTGCCCGGCGTGTTCACCCCGGAGAGCTCGTACGTCTTCTTGTTCAGGCCCAGCAAGAACGAGCCGAACCCACCTGCAGATTCAGACGATGGTCAAGAACGACGGCGGATGCTTCATGCTTGGGATGATAGGGCTCATCATCGATTGGCAAGCCGACCGCCTGATGGATGGACGACTTACCGCCGAACCCTATGGTGTAGCAGGCGACGACGGTGGTCTGGACGACGGTGTTCTCCTGGCGGGTGAAGGGGCGGGAGGCAATGCCTAGGCGCTCGAGGGCGCGCGTCCAGCCCCGGAGCGCCAGGAAGGCGAGCAGCGCGGCGGAGACGTTCATCGTCGGGGTGAGCCCCGTGGTGAGGCTGAGCTTCATGACGATCACCGTGTAGACGAAGCCGATGAGCAGCGCCGCCACCATCCCGCGCGCGGTGATCTGCTCGCGCCACGGCGGGACGCGCTCCGCCACGCGCGCCGCCGCGGGCTCCGACTCCATGTCCGGCGCCGCCGCGCGCTCGGCCGGCGGCGTCTTCTCGATCTCCTGCGCACCCGCCGGGTCGCGCTGGATCTGGTCCATGGCGCCGAAGCCTGGGCCCCGGGGGACCAGCAGCTCGAGCTCCGAGACGGCGGCGGCGGCGGCTGCAGTGTGGAGGCGGAGCTGTGAGTTCATTTGTCCACGGAAACTAGACTAGGCAGGATGCCACTGCGCCATCCATGTGCTCGTGCATTGGACTGACAGCTGCACAGGCGTGAGTAGCTGGAATCTGGATGGACTCGGAATCTCGGATTGTTAAAACCATTCCACTCTCTCTCTCTCCCTTCTCTTCTTCGATATTTTAGTCAGTTTTGTAATGGAAACCGAAATTCCCAAATGGGCCAGAGAAGATAAGGAAGGATGAAGAACGGATCCTGAAAGTGAAACGCTAACGTACATGTCACGAGCAGAGGATAGGAGACGCGGCACCCAGATTCCGATTGGCCGAAAAGATCGAATTCTGAACTGAAAACCACGCAACCGACGCCAGAAATCACTCGAGCAGGGCAGGAACACCAAAAAAAAAAGAACGGACTATGACGATAGCAGACACGGAAACGCGAAACTGACGCACAAGACAGCCAGAATCGAGCCAAAGATCAAATTTCTCGCGCGGATTGGAGAGCGGAGACCAGGCACGCTGAGGACCGGGGACCTCACCTGGCTAGCTTGCCGAAACAGCAGCGCCTGATCGACGAGCACGGACGCCGATCACCCTGGCTAGAGCCGCGAGACGGTGGAATGGCACGGCGGCCTTTTTATACAAAGCAACGGCGGCAGCCGCTCAAAACCAGGCGGTGTACTGCGCCTGCTCTTCGTATGATCGTATCCGGGTCCGGGCCGCGCGCGTGCGGACGCGCGGGGGTGCAGTACAAAAGGCAGGCAAGGTTCGGCCATTCAGTACAACGGGACGGGTTGCGGACAGCGGACGCGCGCCGGTGCGTGTGCGTGCGTGCGTGAGAATGGCAGTGGCTGGTGAGGGAGGTGGGTGCGGGCCGGTCGATCGGTCAGCGATGCGCGCGCGATCTTTTTACCAGCCGGGGCCGCGACGTGGACGGATGGACACCTCGCTGCCGCTGCTCGCTGGCCCCCTCTCGCTTGACTTTTGGGTGTTAATTTGGTTTGGCGTGCGACGGCGACGGCGACCGCGACGACTGGAACCAGTGGCTTTTAGGCTTGTTTGGATTCAAGCCTCCCAGGCAACGCCTGGCCAGGCAAGCAATCCGGATTTCGTCGGTCACGATCGTTGCCTGGACGAGAATCTTTCTGGAGCTTGTCTCGATTGAACAAGTGCCGGGTTCGCCGTTCACATGTTGAGGGCCTTGGGGTGCGTACAAGATGGTTGACCAAATTTCGGTGCTGATCTTGTGTGTCGTCGTAATCTTGTACGGTCACGCTCATATCAGGCATCTGCGGTTTTGGAGAACTCATGTGGTGATGACCTGTTCCCAAATCAACGATTGATAGCGCAACTGGTGGTCTCGATTTATAATTTTGTACTACTAATTGTTTCGTGTACTAACAGCCTGTTTAGAGGTTGTTTGATCCATTATAGCAATACAAATTAGCAGCTAAAATTAGTACTAATAGATCCAAATAGACCTGCTAATAATATACTAATTATTAGCCGAAGGGTTGCTAACTATTAGTTTTATTTGGAGGCTTATAGTTGCTAATATATGATAATAGTTTATATACCTTCAACTCAGTATGCAACCACCTATTAGCAGGTGGATCCAAACTCTCCCCTGCTAATAGGTGGCTACAAAATAGCACTAAAAAATGGCTCCCTAATAGTTAATAACTGCTAATTTTTAGCTAGCTAATTTTTAATAGGGGTTGTTTAAATTCATTAGCACTAAAAATTAGCTACATAATAGCTAATAACTGTTAATTTTAAGCTAGCTAATTTTTAACCGGGACTGTTTGAATCCACCTATTAGGACCTGTTTGGATCCTACCCCAACTAAAATTTAGCCAGTTAAAGATTAGCTAGCTAAACTTTAGCCAGGGGTGTTTGATCCTCTAGCCAATTTAAACTTTGGCCATGCTACCTCTCATAAATTCCATTGTTTAGCTACTGAACTTTAGTTGGGATGTTTTGATCCTCTAACTTTGGTCATTAAGATCTTTTAACTGGTTTTACCTAGGTTGAAACAACTAAAAAGATTGCGTACATTTTAGCCTAGTTTAGCTGGGTCTACACCTACGCTAGCCATAGCGACACGAGGCGTTACGATGGCAGGTCTAGTCTTCGTTATTGGAATTTGGAAGTAAAATGTTTGTTTTTTACCCTGTTTCAAATAAAAAAAGTCAACTTCTTACTCTGTACAGCTAATATTTGTCTATCAATGTATACCTAATTTTTTTTTGCGAATTACAAAAGTACAAACGCACAAGCTCAATATGTAAGCACACTCACCCCTATGAACTCACGTACATAAACCCTACCTTTATGAGCACCTCTAAAAACTGTGACAACACGTCTCGAGATTGATGAAGTCACCACAGACGCCTCGCTGTCGATGGGTACGTCGCCTACCACTGAAAACATAATGCCGTTAAATCTTGGAATAAATCCAAGAAAATGTGAGTCCCCGTGCCAAGTCGATGACTTGATATACTCCCTTCGTTCTAAGAAGAATGTAATCTTAGGTGTAGCATTGGTCAAAGTTCGCTAAGTTTATTATAAAAAAACTACGTGTAGGATTAATAAGGGTTGTTTGGTTCAGCTACAAGTTATGGAAAGTTTGAGTTGTGAGCTCAAGAAAGTTGTTATCAGTTATATATTGTGGAAACATTGTTAGCTATTTTGGTTTAAATAACTATGAAGCCGATTTCATTCCTCTATCTCACCTGAAGCAGTTGTGAAACTTCTCTCTATTTCCTTCCATCTTGGAAAAAATCAAAAGCTAAAAAGCCAAAAGAAAGGTCTAAGGTGCTGCGAAAATTGTACTAGAAATAGCTGCTCCTGAAAAACATTTTTTGGTTTAGTCCGTGTCATACCCCAAAATAGAATTTTTGGATTGTGAGTACAATACACCTAATAAAGTAAATGATGCAACATTTTTCATAAATTTTCCAAGATTTAATTAGGGTTTTACAATTTAAACAGTGCAATATGAACTTAATTTTTTTAGAAAAAAACAATCTGATATATTGTTGCATTCACGCTGCTTGCATTACTTTCAAAATAAAATATAAGTTTTGTTTGAAAAACAAATTTAAATCTTATTTTAAAAGTGTTTAAAAGTGGAAAGTTTTGAAAACTCAAATAGTTAAATGATTTTCAAAATAAAGTTTTAAAGTTTATAAAAAGTTTAAAAACCTATTCTCTCTGTTTGGGCCAAAAAATCATTTTACCCAGCCCACAAACCTATTTTTCTCTATCCTTTTCTTTTCAGCTCGCTGCTCATTCCTTGTCGGGTCGAAACCCCTCGTCCCTCTTGGCCTGGCCTTTTCCTTTCACTGGTCGAAGTTGCTAGCCGCTTACAGCCCACGCCAGCCCAAGCCAGCCTGCATCCCAACTATTTTTATATTAAAACTGCACCTATTTTATTTACTAAATGTTTTTGTGAAAGAATGGTGCAATTAGAATTTTGGTGTCGGGCTATTTTTAGCATCTAAGGCCAAATTTGAATTTATTAGATGCTAATAGTTAGCTAATTAATAGTAGTCTCTTAATAATTTATAGCTAATATTGTCTATTGACTGCTACTAGTAAGTTTGGCTCAACTAGTGAGGTAGTTGTCAGTTGAGTAACAATTAGCTAGATATTAGCTGGATCCTTTTGGATCACGAAGATAATTATTAGCTCTGTAGATCCACGTAGGGTCTAAATTTGACTCAAGTAAATTCTATCAAGCTAATCCTGACCACTGATTCCAAATCAAATGATTAAATGATATGGGCGCGGCTATTGCATCGACACCAAAAACAAGAAAAAGGAGAATATTGATGAGACCTCCACACCTGTTCCACGCCAAAGCACGTATAGAGTAAGGACCGGTCGGAATTCTTCAGGTCCAAACAGCCGGACCGGAAGACTCCGCCGAACGGCAGCGCGCCAAAAATTCACGTACGGAGCAGCGGGAGCAGCGCGCCAAAATATACGTACGGTAGCTTCAACTGTGGGTCGGGCTCCTTCTACTTTTTGGCTGGGCCCATTAACGACATCAGGAGCAAGTAGCCGAGCACGCATGCCCATCGGAGCGCTCAGGTACGTTTCATTCTTTCTCTCTTTTTTCTTTTAATATTTGTTTATTTCTTATTTTTTTCTAATTATGCTTTTCTTCGATTCATATTTTTATTTTTTATCTTTCTTTATTTTCCTTTTTATTTTTTGTTCTTTCTTTTTTCTTGTTCTTTTTCTTTTCATGCTTCAATTTATTTTTTGTTTTTATTTGTGTTTTTGTTATATGTGAATTATTATTATTATTTTAATTTTTTAATTTTTTTTGCTTTTACTATAATTAATTATTTTGTCTGTTTTGTTTTATTTTTGTTCTTTTGTTTTATTATTTTTTGTTTTTCTTTCTTTTTCCTTTTCGCTTTGTCTTTATATTTTCCATAGAGTTTTTTCTTTTTCTATTTTATCCTAATTAATTATTTTTCATGTTTACTTTTTTATTCCATGATGCTCTATGACATGAGGCTATATGATGTATATTTTGTGATGTTAACATAGTATATATATGATGTTCTATGATGTATTTTATAATGTTCCCGTGGTATATACATGTCATGTTCTATGATGTGTTTCGCGATGTTCATGTAGTATACATATGATGTTCTATGGTGTTTTTTGATGTTCATGTAGTATATATGTGATGTTCACTTGTTATACATGTGATGTTCTATAATGTTTTTGTGATGTTCACGTTGTATACATGTGATGTTCTACAATTTATTTTGTGATGTTCGCGTAGTATATATTTGATGTTCACGTAGTATACAATGATGTTCTATGATGTATTTTGTGATGTTCATGTAGTATACATGTGATGTTCTATAATTTTTTTTAATGTTCACATGATATAAATGTGATGTTATACGATGTATTTTTTATATTCTATTTAACTTTTTTTATTTTTCATGTTTGCTTTTTTATATTCTATGGTATAAAGTATACATAT